TACCCACATGAGTACATAACTCCTTAGGCATTTAAAAGTTGGTAATCCTTCGTGGGCAAGATATGAATTTTGTTCGCCCAAAAAAGGCCAAATTACTCATTTCAATTCATTTTCATTGAATCCCGCAGAGGCTCCCCCACCTATGATGAGGTAAGGAGGCCGGATGTATGCAGTTTTACTCCTATATTAAAGAGAGATTGTTTCCGGATGACCCATAGTGAAAATCTCGTCCAAAATTGCATGAACTGACTGTTGCTTCATAACAAATAAGCGCAAACAGTTTAGTGAGTCATTTCGCTTTATTCCATCATTTTTTCAAACCAAAAAATAATGAATCTTTGGCTCCATTGCAAATGATGGATAGAAAATAAAAAGGCCAAATTACTAAATTAATAAAAAAGGATGATTTACGGGATTGATAAAAAAAGAAAACCTAGTCACAAATTAGTTAATGTTTTGTGACTGAGATACTTTTAGTCCTTGATTTTAGATTTTCAGACATTTCATATCTTAAGTATTATCAAATTGACATTTTCAGTTCTTTTACTTTGATTTTATATGTACATTAACGCGAGCACACACACATATAAATTCATATATTTTTAGTATTAATATTTTAAATATGACTGTTTATTAGTTTTTTTTAAATCTACTCCATTCTATTAACTTTCATTGTAGGTTTGAAATAAAATGCTAATAAGTTAACTGTTTGTGATTAAATGTTAAGGCGTATAATGACCATTAAGGATATGAATTTAGAAATATATATATATATGAACATGTTCGGTTCTGACTCAAAATTAGTGGAACTGTTGTGTAAAAATTTTAATTAATGAATTCGGGTTCGGTTCCAATATAAAAAATCAAGAAGCGTTATGAAACCGAACCAATACAAAATGGTTCGATTCTTGCTTTTATTGGTTTCTAGAATAACTATTTATCTTCAAATTAACACATAGCTTACTTTCTACCACATAAAAAAAACTTAAAAATCATTGTTCATTGGTAAAAATGAAGGCCTCATCATAGTAGTAACAATAGGACGTCCACTTAAACTCTGCCAAAATCTAAAAAATACATTGAATTCACATGTATAGATATAAAAGCACCATTACGTCCTACTCACTAGTACCATAATTTATAATACATTTAATAATTTCAAATATCATGAAGATAGTAAAGTAAAATATATGCAATCAACTACGTACAAGTTATTTGAATTATTTTATATTTATAAAATTTATGCGATAGAACAAAACGTTATTTGTAAAAATGAGCTTAATGTATTCAACCTCATGTGCAATATTATTACTTCTGTTTTCATTGGTTAAATTAGAATTGAAGGCTAAATATCATTCATTATATTATTGTTGTTATTGTGGTGGGGGTTATTATTGTTATTTTTAATATTCTTGTTACTATATTATTATTGTTGTTGTTGTTGTTGCTGTTGTTGTTGTTGTTGTTGCTGTTGTTGTTGTTCTTATCATCATCATCATCATCATCATCATCTTTCATATCAATGGCCAAGATTATTTCTTATTTTTCCCCTAGGAAACACTTTTTATTTGATCCATACTATATGTATATATATATATATATATATATATATATATATATATATATAGGGGATGGTTCAGGTGAAAATGATGTCTCAGGAAAGAAATGAGAATAAGATCTAACCGTCTAATATACTTAATGGACGATGAAGATTTAATATAAATGAGGATGGCATTGAAGTAATTAGGAGGAATCTTGAAGGATAATTCTAAGGGTGCTTCTACCGTACCTTTATTAATTAGAAGTGTTCCGGTACATTTGCCTAGATAACAAATACACGGAGGACATGTGTAAATTTTAACTGCACTAAAATAATCAGATTTGAGTCCTTTTGCAAAAAGCTCTGATTTTTTTCGGTGCATGTGCATCATCGGCCTTCCACAGTTCCGGCGGTTTGAGTAGCTGCACAGGTCATGCCTCCTCCATATTTGCTCGATGAACCATGATTCAGAAGACAGACAATGACTTGTTGGCGTAGCACTGCACTCCTATTTTCAAGGAGAGAATCGAAGGCGGCCTGTATTGTCAAAGATGGAAGTTCCTCATCAAAAACTCCTTCTTCATCAGCGACCAAAGGTGGTCTGTGAAAAAACGGGTTTCTCTTATTGTGCGCAGGGCCGCAGGCGACGCTCCGGGCGTCTAGCAACATTTTTCAGCAAACACCTACAGGTCTGGGCCGTCGGACAACGAAAATCATCCTGATAACCGCCTCTTTCTCCCTTCCTCAGCTCCCTCTCTAGGCGCTTCTTCCTCGCCGCGTCGGCGGGTTTAGTCCCTCTGATCTGCAACCTTTCAGGGCTCGGGGTGTAACTTGCCGGCATGCCATAATATAGAATTATATACTCCGCAGATTACTTGCTATATTATACTCCGTATTTATTTAGTATAGGAGATTAGGAGGGTGATGATGTGGCACCATAATAAAATTTCATTGGCTTATAAAACCCGGGTACCGGTGCCTCTGAAATTAAGAAAGGTACGGTAGAATTTTCCTAATTCTAATGCCTAAACCAACGAAATTAATGTTTGAGGGCAAATATGTAAAATACTGTTGCATTATAACGGACCACTACCACGCCTTCCTAAAAAAACTCATTAAATTTTGGATTAAATGGAATGCACCTAAACTTTCGGACTATTACTTATTACATATCAAAAAAATTAAGCATTATGTTGTACACGTTGAATTTATAATGAAAAGATTTCTACAAATAGGAAAATTAAATTCTCCACTACGACACTCCCTCATATTTCCCAAAATACATAGATACGTTCTTTTTCAATATAAAGATCAAATTCCAAAATCTAGTTTTTTTTGCATTACTCATGTGATTTTATTTCAAATTACGTATCTCCTCGTAAATATTAAATCACAGTAAGTCAAAGTTTTGCACTTCAACTTTGTATGAATGCACTTTTATTAAAACATTGTGCACAATTATATCACAAGATTTACACTAAAGTATAGAATAACGTACTGCACTTTTCTTCAAAACCTTTTGTAACATCAATTTAATTAAATACTTGAATTTTTACAAAAAGTCATTTAAATAATCAACACCACTTATCGATGAAATAAATATGAAGTAAAATACTATTTTATTACATTAATCTAAACTTTTTAAAACTGCACATTTATGTCATTACCTTGCACTTTCTAAACATTTTACTTCACTTTTTTCTAATGTGATATTTAATATGCACTTCCTATAAAATTAACCTACACTTTACCTATAAGAGTTGTGCACACTCATATGCCTTAAACAAAAATGAATGCAAATATATAAGAGTGCAAACTATTAACTAGCAAGTGCATTTTAAATATATTCAAAAGTGCACAATTGCATCGTACTTTCAAAAGTACATAGGCACTCTTATATAAAATGAAATGCACTTTTATCATGCTCATATTAAATATATTCGAAAGTGCATTATTATATTAAACGTTTTGAAGTATGAAGCAATATATCTACTCTGAGGGTGGATATATATGTACTTTGACACAATGCAATAAAAAACATCAATGAAAACCGTTATGCAATAATAATAAACAAAAAAACAATATATATATATATTGGTATCATAAAGTGAGAAGATCGATGACTTATTTAAACATAATTTTACAAGGTTTGATCTAATGACTTGTATTTTTATTGACTGATCCTGATATGCACTATTTCCTATAGCATACATTTATTATGTTACGAGTATTATTTTTTGTTTGTCATTTTTACTAGTTATATTTATTTCAGGATGTAATCTTTAGATTCAATTACTTAATGTGTAATTATTTGTACTTTTTGTGCAAGTTTGTTTAAGGAGGATGTAAGACATTATTACAATTACCAAAAGAAGACATGACGAAACATGAATATAAGTGATGATACGAAACCTGATCGGCTTGAAGCAAAATCGGGTCGGGTTGGAACTCACATCTGAAGCTACCACGAAGCTATGCACTAAAACCCAGTCTGGTTTGTACTCAACTTGGTCGGGTTTGAGTTGACACCAGACAACTGAACATGTTGAAGATCAAAAGATTGTGGAAAATCTGATTTGATACAAAATCCGGTCGGGTTGGAGATAAATCCGGTCGGGTTGATGTGATTTGAGCACTTTACGGACTACTGCCATAGATACCCGGCTGGTTAGGTATCCCTTATACCTGATCGGGTATCAGACCCAGCCGCCTCAAAACACCTATAAGTACACCCATTTTCCTTCCCATTTTGATACTCATTCTTATATATTCTTAAGCTCAGTTTAGATAAGTGTTTTCTTTATACTTATTTCATGTTTAGTCTCCAAATGAGGAATTAAACTCTTCCATCTTGGTTTTGCTACATTGAAGCTTGTGTTTTGTAAGTTGTGCGTTGTTTTCTTTAATCACCTTCCTCTATAATATTAACTACATTCCTATTTATATTTGATATTAATATTAATATTTGGGCATTACTAAATGATCAACTAGGTTTTGTTTTCAAATTAATTACTACTAGAATCGATCGATAAATACGCTTGTTGTTCGCTCGGTCCTCCCAACGATTATTTAGATTACTAACGCATGTGTCTCATGGTTAATGATCTACAGAGGATTGATTATATTAATTAAACCAATAAACTGTTTTTTTGAAGTTGTCAAACTAAGTTGATTTCATCTAAAGTTGTATTGTTACTAGCGGGTCAATATAAGACATGTTTTATATTGACTAGTTAGTAAATGTTACTACTGAACATGTCTCGTTGTTAATAACTACTCTCGATGAATTGAAAATACTCCATGACTGAGTATTTGAGAGGAGATAGTTAAAGATATAACTGAGTCACTAAATAAAAAATAGCAAAATCAAGTCTCCATCTCTATTGAGCTAAATCATAGAAGTCATTCATCTTAGTGTTTAATTATTGTCAAGTTAAATAATCTGAAGAACCTCATTTTGGTGCAATTTCACAAAGAAGAAATACCTTTTCTCGTGGATACAAATTGAACCTTACTACGCTATACTACGTGTACTAGTGTTGATTTTATTTTGAGGCACACAATGATTATATTGTCATGAACTCCATCACAAGTTGTAACACATTATACTGAAAACAAGAAAAATCAAAATGATTTATCTATGTCATACTTCATGATAGCTCTTTAATGTAACTTACTTTGAAGATCACTAGTTGAGCTCCAAGAGGGGCTTTGGCACGAAAGTGTCCTAATTTGAAATATTTCAAATGCGTTTATTACATTGCTTATAATAATAAATTTATCATAGTGGATCATAAGAAAACCATCTTTTCATCATTGTTTGGCATTCCTGAGGTTTGTATTCAGCAGCTGTATGACCTGCCCCCTTCACTGTTGCAAATGTCATGTTGTTTGAGTATGTTCTTGTAAACCTATAATATTCAAAAATTGATGTACACATAAGAAGCAGTGTTAATTATATTCTCAAGAAATATTATATTTAATTAGAAAGTTGTATTGAAAAAATTATACTACGTAGTAACTATTACTGTTGCTATTACTATTGCTATCACTATTGCTATTGCTATAATGCTATTACTATTGCTATTACTATTGCTACTACTATTACTTTTACTGCTACTAGTAATAGTAGTATTACTACTACTAGTAGTATTACTATTACGATTACGATTACTATTATTATTACAATGACCACCACCATTACCATTACCATTGTCATTGCCATTGCCATTGCCATTGCCATTGCCATTACCATTACCATTACCATTACCATTACCATTACCATTACCATTACCATTACCATTACCATTACCATTACCATTACCATTACCATTACCATTACCATTACCATTACCATTACCATTACCATTACCATTACCATTACCATTACCATTACCATTACCATTACCATTACCATTACCATTACCATTACCATTACCATTACCATTACCATTACCATTACCATTACCATTACCATTACCATTACCATTACCATTACCATTACCATTACCATTACCATTACCATTACCATTACCATTACCATTACCATTACCATTACCATTACCATTACCATTACCATTACCATTACTATCATCTTACCCGGCAACTTCCCTATCAACAATCCATGGCCTCCACTCATCAATAATAGAATAGTTTAGAGCTCGTATCCATGCTTGTGTTGAAATGAAGGTAATAACAAAGTCGTGATCCCCACTACACAATATGAAATAAAAAATTGTCAGTCATGGCTAAGTATAGTTTAGTTTTAAATGTTCCTTCACAAAAGTTTTTTCCCCTGTTTTCATAAGAGCAAATTGTGATACATCGATAAAAACAAACCTACTGTAGAATAATGTGCATTTTATTTCATACAAAAAATGTGTATCACATGTGATAACTTTTCATCAAAATAATGATGAGAAATATATAATCATAAATAGGACTAAACCTAAACATAAATGCACAAATAGGGATCGATGCTTTAATTTTACTCTCTAAATACGACTAAACATTACTTTCTACACCTAATATAATTAATCAATATATATGATTGTCTCCTAGTTCCTTTGCATAACCAAGGTCAGTTCGCTGGTGGCGGAGCAATCTGGTGGAGGCAGCAACGACAATCTAGTGGCGGTGACAATCTGGTGGTGGTAGCAATTTGGTGGCAGTAGAATCTGGCGATCGGTGGTGTCGGAGCTTCGGAAGCCAGTGGTGGCAGCAGGCTAGTTACAGACTGACAATCCAAACTCTTGGACGAATATTTTTGTTCAAACACACACAATTATTCTTATTTAGGAAACTTAAAACAATAAATACTACTTTTGCATTTTGTCCATGTTTTACACTTAATTTATAATTCAATCAAAACGTAATAATAAACCACTACAAAAAACAATGATATTGGAACAGACTTGACACAGATTGATCGAGTTTGGCATGTATCATTACATATTTTTGCTACGACGCCGTGCCAAATAGCTGGTGTTAAAATGGCATTGCGCTTGGCACGAACTTTTGTTGTGAACCTTCTTCATGGTCTCTAAAGTTTAAAAATTGAACATAAATTATTATGATTAAGTTACTACTATAGTTACTAGTCACATTTTTGTAAACAATCTTTATTTTAGTCATATATATGTAATTATCTGTTAGAAATTTATTGAGAAATGGATCTCAAGTGTTCAACATAATATTTGAAATATTATTTTTAATAATTATTTCCAAGCTTCAATTAATAAAGATAATTTAATTATAATTATTATTATGATGAATTGTGGAAATCCACAGGTGATTTAGTTCACAATTCAAATAATAATAATAATGATTGAATACTTTTTAATGGTTTGTGCATTTGTACGTTTTTGTAAAGTAACTGCTAAAATTGATTTTAAATTTGGAATTCCTTTTTGTCGCATGGAATTTTCAAAAGGTTCGTTCATTTGTTAGTTTTACATTTAAAGGGTGCAGGGGTCTTTCTACCGTGCATGTCAAAATTTTAAGTGTTTGGGTACGTAACCAATGGGGTTATAGCAGATGGCAATCATGGCATCTTATATGTTTGCCACACGGTTACAAAACTTTGTATTATTTGCATTTTAACCCCTCCCATTTAATACTCCGTAGTTTAAAAGCCGTAAGAGAACCGCCACATAACAGCATTGCTGCTAATTCACGGTTCACCGGTTTTCATACTTCTCTGAGTGAAATAAAACCTTTATTTTAAGACTTCTTTTATGAATGAAACTTTTCTTCAGATCAACTAAATTTATCAAACTCACATATTAGAAAGTTTATACAAATTAAAGATTTCTTTAAAAGTGAAATTAACAAACGGAAAATTGTTGTTTAATTGTATGTACTATATATCCTCCGTTTTTTTAATCGCAACATGTTGAATTTTAAACTATTCACAAACTCTACTTTGACTACATTTTACTCTATTATTTTATGAAATTCATTTAAAAAAATAATATAGTTCAAATCATCTCATTACAAATTTTCAAAATCTAATTTTTAATTTTTTTTACTAAAAGAGAATAATGTATATTTAAGGTCAAAGATGTATGTTGACAAATGTGAAATATTGACCGTTGCAACTATAAAAGAACGGATGAAGTATTTTTTAAGGCACACATGCATGATTTAAATTGTCAATCCCCTAGTTCCATAGCATACTCAGGTCAATCTGTTGGCAGCAACAAAACTCCGGTGATGGAGGCAAGCGGTGACAATGTTAAGTCCTAAATTGATTTGCAATGTTAAAATTCTTTGATCAATAAATATTAAAGCGAAGTCCTCCCTATTGATAATTAATTCATTTTTTTAATAATTAAAATTTATATATTCAGAAGCTACATTAAAAGCTATTCAAAGTGACAAAATCCAAATTAGAATATTATTAAAAATTGACATTCGAATTAAGTGATCAACAAAAGTTAGTTTTGCAAATCAATTTAGAACGGAGGTAATATTACTAGGTCCTATTTAATTTGAAAAATGGACATATTTTGGATTTAGTCAAGGAGTTCTCCCTTAAATTACGAGGTGTTTGGAACTACTTCTGCTCCTTTAGGGAGCACAAGTAGATACTGGAGTGTAAAAGAGCAGAAGTAGATACTGAAGTGTTCGAAATTAGGGGAAGACGAACTTCTAAAAAGAGAGAAAGAGGCATGAAGGAAACCGCCGTGAAGCCGGAGCTATTTAGGGACCTTTCTGGTGAGTATGTTCTTCATCAAGAGTAGATTACCTCAACAAAATTTCAGCTTAAAATTCAATCATGAACTCAGTTAAAGAAATTATTGAAACATAATGCACATTGTTTATTTACATAAAACGCAATATGTTTCAATATTTTATTTAACTAATAAGTTCTGGGTTGAATTTTAAGGTGAAATTTTGTAAAGATAATCTACACTTAATAAAGAATATGCTTAAAACATTTTATATGTGTCAATTTTTCTCAAAATTTTCTTCAATTTTTCTCTCTTGAGTAAATAGCGACTTCACTTATTATTATTATGACAAATAACCAACTCAAGTGCAATTATAAAAACTATTGGACGAATACGTTAATTAGGGATGGATCGTGGCATACTCAATCATATCTTATTGGTTAAAAAGTGCAGGCACCAGTGCATTACAAATTAGCAAATCTACGGTAGAATTTTCCTTAAATAAATTCATCCGACATGTTGAATACGGGAGTTAAAACCAACGCACACAACCATTAAGTTGGGACTCTTCCTCTCTATAAAAGGAGGGAAGTTTGTTGAACACGGGTGTAGAACATTTTTATCTTGGTCACTTTACATTGCCTTATTTAATTACTATTATCTGCATTGATAGTGATAAAATATTTAGACCACTTTATATACAAATCACTTGTTCGGTGTTATTTTATCGGTAACTAAAATACACCATACACCTTCTTTTTTATCCCAAAAGTTCTATCTTGTAACCCGGTTACTGTGATAAGGGTAGATAGTAATCTTTTAGGAAAACGTATTTAATACGTGACTAGAAGTGATATCCGGTCCAGCCATATTTACACCCTTATAATTTAGGATGTTTTTACTTGGACTGTAATTTGTTGGTCTGGTCTGGTCTGGTCTGATCTGGTCTGGTCTGGTCTGAACTGGTCTGGTCTGGTCTGGTAAGGTCTGGTTTCTTTGTATTTTTATAACTATCCAAGTCTGGTCTGGTCTGGTCTGGTCTGAACTGGTCTGGTCTGGTCTGGACTGGTCTGGTCTGGTCTGGTCTGGGGCAAATTACAGTCCAAGTAAAAACATCCTTACTAGTTTTATCCTCCAATTCTAACATTATCAGAGGTAGATAATTATAAATATGATCCTCATACATGTGACACATGTCCATCTGAAGTCTGAACTAAGTAAAATGTTAACAAAACACATATTCATACACGTATTTAAAATACTGTCTGGCATACATATATCTTATTATTTATCTACATTTAGCCAAGAAAATAAAATATTACTACGTAAAAACCAGCGAGGTAAGATCTGAGCACTTCTTACAAACGAGTATTAAAATACTACCTAAAAATATTTACTAACACAAGAGGGCACACAAATCTAACCATTGGACAATCCCTTTAATTAAGATTCTCACCTAAGAATTGAAGTACTCCCTTTAAAGGAGTATCTTTTAAAAATAGGACGCACTCAACTTTTTTCTTTTTTTTTACTTCAGGGGTGTCTGGGGGAGGGGCTGCGGGACCTGGAGTAAACTGGGTTGAAACTCACTTCATTGAGTTTTGAACCCGAGACTTGCATAAGGGAGAGTGAGTCGATGACCAGCTGAGTTGGATCACTTCCTCTAGAACGCGCTTAACTAATAAGTGTAGGTTGTCTATATTGTTAGCTTCCATTTTAATGAGTTCCAGTCAAATAGAGAATAAGTCCATGACTTTAGAGAAGAAGTCGTTGCAGACCTCATTTCCCAGAGTGGGTCTTCAACTTCTTAACAATATGAGTATCACACCAATTTAAAGCCTTCATGAAAATGCAGATGAAAACCTGAATGTGGAATCTGGCTAAGAGGGTAGTGTGAATTAGGTCATCACATCATCATCATTACCCAGTGTCGCAAAGGTAAGGGGGGTCGGATAATGTATGCAACCGTACTCCCTTATTAAAGCACAGAAAAACTGTTTCCGAATGATCCAGGGTGAAGTAGTGTGAATTAGGTATATTCCAAAAATATTTGTCTTAAAACTTCTATTCGGCGCAGTTATTAGCCTCAGTTTTCGATAAATCGATAAAGGAAAAGTTTAAACTCGACTTATATCTTGGAAAGGGTCTAGACATCTCTTATGCTGTATTGAGTTTTAGAGTCCAAGAAGTACACTAAAACGGGTAGTGTGTGAATGCTTGCACTTGGCAAATTGAGAATTACTTAGGTCAAGCATATATAGATATTGAGTTGTAAAGACAAGGACGAGAGAATAGGAAGTATTAAAGGTTACAGTTTCTGTTAGATTAGAACTCCTATTAGGAATAGAAGTATTAGATGTTATAGTTTCTGTTAGATTAGAACTCTATCATGTAAAGACATGATGCATATTTATATTCTTTATTCAGCATTAAAAAGGCATGGATCATTAGAAGAATATTCCAGAGAGAAGTCACGGATCCCCCCCCCCCCCCCCCCCCCGCTCTTCCAACCACGGGCAAGAAGAGGAGAAACCCTAGCAGGCAGGTACCACCTCAACCGGGTACCCTGCTACCCCAGGTCATCCCTGGACCCGTTCTTAGTCCCAAAACCCTATCAATTACTAATGAAAAGCCAGAAATAAGTAAATATTGAGTTGTAAAGATGTGGGTTCAAATGGGAATGGTTGGAGGAGTTATAGAGTGCTTTAAAAACCTTCATTCACGTGAGGAATGATTTTCAATGATGAAACCACGACTTATGTTCAATTCCTTCCTATAACCAAGTTCATCTCCAATAGAGAACTCCTTGCATTGGACAACAAGTAGTCGATCAAATTCGGAACTAGACGAGCTTTGATCCTAACGTATACGTATCGCTCAGGTTCCGAACCAGATCCGGAATATACTACTAAGCGTTATTCATAGATGTCCATCACGTCAGCCGGATGAAAGTGCTTAAGATCTTGATTATTTGCTACAGGAAGATGAGTCATACAAGTCCCTTAGGCGGGATGCCTAGAATGTTAGAACCAGATACCTAACCGGATTGGAACTAGAACCGCCAATTTTGAAACTGATATTTTGCAGTTCCAGTTCTCCAAAATTTGGAACTGTCCTTTCACAACTGAGGACATGACTACTCATAATATATATTTTGTCTTCCTAAAATAAAAAAAAAAAATAGTTACAAAAGTAGATACATGCACACAATAAATGATTACCTGTAAATTAGTGATCTATAGCCTCTAGCGCTGAGCTTTTGATGATATGGAATTAGATCAATTGTTGTTCCATTATAATCCAAATCATGGTTGCATCGTTCCCACCGTCCAATAGACCCCTGCATTGAGCATTATTTTCATATATTTAGCATCTCATCATGACTAAAGTTTTCTATATTCAGTGAGGGGACACAAAAGTTTTTTAAAGTGCACGGGAGAAGACTGAAGAGGATGAGGCAGGGATTCAAGTCTGGTAGTTTCATGTGTCCTGATTGAATGATTTGATATCCCCAAGTTTAGGCTTGTATATTTAAGTACATAAATTTAATAATTTTTTTAACATTAGACTAGCCATTTCTATAATGTTTACTTTTTTTAATGACATTTCTAGCTATCATGTCTGCTAAAAATCAGTTTTTAGCCCTTTAGGGTTTCACATATTTTGCAAATACATGTATTATTCGCTATTGAGTACACGGTTTTTATAATATTATGTTGAACATGGTGTAACAGAGGAGTCAATATTATAAGTTTTATTGACCACCAACTTTTAAACTTTAGTCAATATTATAAGTTCTAAAAGGTGAAATCTC